ATAAAAACTAATGGCAGAAAAAGAGAACCGAACAATTTCTATGTAATGTACAGATACTAGCATTGCACATATAGTCTGCTTTCTGTTCCTCCAGAACTTGCGTCCCTGTTAATGTAGTGGAAAAAAAAAATAAGAACTTTTTTCTGTTGTGCTGGTCTTGTAAGTTTGTCTACCAGTAGGAGCAAGGTTTTTCATAACTCTTTCTCTTTTTTTTTTTTAAATTTTGTTTTGCCTCTTCCACTGCTCCTTCCCTCTGTCCCCTTCCCACCCCAGTAAAAAAACTCACTGGGCAAAAAAAAAAATAAAAATTCCCAAACATCACTTTCTAAGGACCATTTTTAGTAACACCATCACCATTTCTTTTCAGCCAAGGCAGTCTTTTAATTTCCTCTCTGTATAACCTTTTTCAGCCGGCATGTTGCCAGCAGACCTTTTGGCAGACTAGAGCAGGGCAAACTTCCTCATTGTCAGTGCACAACCGATCGTGACGATAATCCTGTGAAGCATCTCTGGCGAGTAGCCCCTCATCCAGGCCCTCAAGTCACATCCAGGGGCTGAGAGGGGGCTTTGTAATCCTAGTGGGAGTTCTACAGGAGAACGCCATTTCCCTGGAGGAGCAAAGGGCCTTCTCGGCTCAGTCTGGTCCCTGGTTTAGGCACTTGTACTGCAGTTGTTAAGAAGAGAATAGATTGACGCATAGTGAGCTAAAAAGTACTTTGCAGTGATTTTTAATATAAAAGAAAAAAAAAAAAAAAGTCCTCTGTTCATTACTTTTCCTAACAGGAAATTTATTTATTTGACCGGATTTTTAAGTAACATAGGCTTTCTGGAGGTAAATTAGCAGCACGGAGTATGAATTCTTCTTCTTTTTCTTTTCTTCTTTTTTTTTTTTCTTTTTTTTTTTTTAATTTATGATCCATTTTGTATGGTCTCAACAGTTGAATGACCTCATTACTAATATTTGTTGTAAAAGTGAAGCTTGTTTGCCAACCAATAAACAACTGATCACGATTTAGAAGATACTGTATGTATGTACTGTACAATTAATCTCTCTTTTTTTGTCGTTGTTGTTCCTCTCTCCATTCATGTCTTCAGTATGAGTCTCCACTCCTTTACGGCATCGGTGAGCAATGCCGAAGAAAGGAGGCCTAAGCTGAGAAATTTAAGCACAAAGGCTATGCAGCTGTGGCTGACTAGAAATATCAGGCTGGTGGTACTTGTTTAGGGGCAAGAGCAACACTGGTTGACATTTGTTGCAGGTGATTCTAGGTCTGTTTTGTGCCTACTGTATAAAGTAGCCAATGACACGCGGATGATTTGAGTATAGTGTTTCACGTGTCTTATCTTTTAATCATTGTAATTATTTTCTTTTCTTAATTTTCTTCTTTTTTCTTTTTTCTTTTTTTTAATTTGGGTTTTCTGAGATTAAAAACTGCTGGTAGCATGTCAAAGAGTAAAACAAGTCCCCGTTAGGCCTTCTCGGTCATTGTTTGCTGTCTCTTTATTTTCTTGCTCCGGGCATACGCCAAGCGCCCTCACCATCCTTGGCCACATCCTTCCCGCCCCACCTCTGCCAGTGGCCCACTGGCACTTTGCTGCTCTCCTCCAGCCTCCCCCTTCACATCCCTTGAGTGCAATCAGGAATACAGAAAGCCACAAAATAGACTGGAAAGCTTGACAGGGAAAATAACCACCTCTGAATATGATCGGTAATTAATTTTCTGTTATTTTTTTGTAAAAACGGCCTGGGCTTAAGGGCTTGGTGTTGCCTCCATCTAAACTCTGCCTATCCAAGTCCTGTCATGCTGGGCAAAAGCCAGAAGACTTGGAGCAGGTGGGTGAGGTGCATGTTAAACAGGGTATTCCCAGTGCTGGAGGAAAAACGCAGCAGCAGCAGCAAATCAGTGGAGCAGTTCCACTCCATCCTGGGGTTGTCCTCACGTGGGGGCAGTGCTGCTTGGTGCTTCTCAGCAGAGTCTTGTTGGGCAAGAGAACCAGGGGTGGTGGGATTTGGTGGTATTCATGGCCTACAGAAGAGTCTGGTTCGGGTCACCTGAGTCCTTCCTGCAGCCACTCTGGCCAAAACATCTTGGGGAAGAAGCTCCATGCAGGACCAAGCACTGATCACAGCAGTGTCTCTTGCTGGGCCTAGGTTTTGGCAAGGGAGCATTTCCTACTGGAATATTGGGGAATCGCCTGATTTCACAGCAGAGCAGCCACTAGCCAGCCAGGCTGTGCTCTTTCTCTTGATACTGCCTCCCTGTTTCATTCTATTTTCCATGCCAGCAGCAAAGGAAGTGGATAGTGCATGGTAGATCCACTCTTGCAGGTACAGCAGGTGATTCACACCTGTGTGGTCACAGCAATCCATGTAGCAGCTGAAGAGAGGCTGCTGAGGCTTTAAATAAATGAGGTACATCTTATTTTGGGGACAGTAAAAACTCTTTTACTGTATTAGACTCAAAAAATAGTTTTTCAGGGGTATGGTGGAATTGAGTTCATGCAGAGGGTGAGATATGCCCTAGCAAATATCATCATGGTAAATTGGGAGGCAGGTGATGAACACGGTGTTTACCAGTTTTTCTGAAACTCTGCAAGAACAAAACCAGTGGTGGATTTGCTGTGGGATGGATGGTTTTGTCCTACTGAAAAATCTTCAACTTATTTTACTTTGAATGGTCATTCTTCCCCAGCCCTTTTACATATTTCAGGTTTATCACTGTGGATGCTGTTTTTCCCCCTCTCCTCCATCCCTTCTCTTTGCCAGCCTACCCATGCCTATTAGCATTTCTATTGCAAAAAAATGCTGTTTATTTTCAAGCTGATTATTTCTGTCCCTGGGCTGTTCTGACATCACAGGATTCACTGTTTGTGATTCCTATGGCTTAGGAAACAGCTGAATCACAAAATAGAGGGAAAATATATATTACTAATTTTATTAAGTATGTTATTAAGCCAAAAATGTTTTAAGACTGTAATATACTGGGGGTGGTTTTATGAAGGGGAGCAGGACACAGATTATTTTTGGCATTTTCTTCCCTTTGAGAACAGATTTTGTTCTGTCAGATAGTTGATTATGGGCATGGTGAAAGTTGGTGCTTGTTGATAAGTAGCTCAGTGTGACTGGCGACAGTGTCCTCTGTGCAGACGGCAGCATGTGAAAATCAACTCACTCTTAAGTCCTCGGTGCCTACAATGCTCCTGGGGTATGAGGGAGAGCTGCAAAACTTCTAAGGCATTTCTTAATGCTGAGCCAAGGCAAGAATGTGAAAAAAAGCTTGATGAAAATGCAGTAGTGATCATGGTGTTAAATCCATACTCATGCTTGGGGCACATAACTATGTAGGCTGGGTTGAAGGGTATAATCAGCCCTGTACTCGAGGGATCTTTTCTAGAGTTCCATTTAACAAAACAAAACGAAGAAAACCAAACCAGATTTGCCTTACAGGGAGAAGATTAAAGCTTCATCATTCAGCTGCAACAAGCATCCCAGTTTCAGCTGAAAACAGACAAAATAGTGGCAAACAGGTAGTGCTTGATCTGATGAGACCATCAACTGATACACAGACCATTTTCTGAAACACAGGGCCACCTTTGGGAAGCATGAGCTGCCAGGCATGTTTGGAGTGAGAATTCTTAATATTGATCCACTGGTTAAGTTGTCCCTTCAGAAAGCCTTTCTTGCAGGTGGGAAGAGGGGGAATGGAGAAGTGCAAGGCTCCATGCTTTGCATTTTCCTGAAAATCATCTTAGGATGCTTTACAAGTCATGAATCCCTTTTTTCACTCCTAATTTGTGCAGGACTGGGTGTAGTTTCCTGTGTAGTCCCATTGCAGATCACCCCATAAAGAGCTGACACATCAGCTTACTGCTTAAGGACACTTTGACTATAGCAGGCAATTCCCACCCATTTTCTGCAAGAGCCAGAAGAGACTCTAAGATCTCCCTGAAACATGAAGGAGAAATACAAGGCAAAAGTCGTGCCATGTAGGCTGGAGGGCTGCTGGGAATGGCAGGTGTTCATTTTCGGGTACACATGCCTTTAGAGGCGCTGTGTAGGCAATATTGCTTGCCATGGTCCTGTTCATTTCTGCCTGTTGATTCCTTTTAATTCCTTGACATCTGTGGTTGTTTACCAATCTTTTTCCTTCCTCCCTTGCCCCAGGTAGTAAGCAGTGAGATACTTCAGAGGACCAGGGGAAACTGGTGATGGGGGGAGGAATCCTGGGGAATCCTTCTGTGTGTCTGTGTGTGTCCCTGTTGCCTGCATCCCCCTTCCCTGACCAGCTGGCCTCTCTTTCACACCCCCATGTGCCCTTGATCTCACTAGGTTATGAAGAATGTAATACCCTGCAGAATTGCCTCATCAACAGGGATAGAAGGATAGCTCATCTTATTAAAAACCTGTCTCAGGAAAGCCTAAGAGCACAGGCTTGGTCATCTGTCACACCCTGATCTCCTGCTTACCTTGAGAAAGAAAAGTGCTTTATTTTTAGCTATCTGCTGCATTCAGCTACACTCTATGCAAATTTTATTTAATGAATATTTTAGGGTTTAAATAGTCTGGGCTCATGAACATTATATAAATGTCATGTTGTTGCAGGCTCTCTGGTAACAGTGTGGAGGACATCCTGCAGTGTGAAGCTGGAGCCAGATAAAATCTGTGATTAGTGCTCCCAGGGAAGGCAGCCCTGGATTGCTCAGTGGCTGTCCTTGGAGGGGGGGGTGTTAGCAGTGCAGTCAGGGGAGGGCCCTGCAGTCCCCCTGGGAGGCAGCAGCACTCCCCTTTCTGGACTCGGGGACGTTTCCTTCAGCACAGGTAGCTGGCTTAGGGCCAGTTTTGCTCTTCCAAAGGCTTTGGCAAGCCCTGGGGATGCATTGATCATACACCAGATCATTTATCGTCCCAGCTCACAAGAGGCAGTCTGTTTAAAGCTGAAATACTGAGACTAGCCAGGATTGCTTGGAAATCTTCCTTTTTCACATCAAAATAGCATTTTACAGGTGCTTACTGTTTATTGTATTCGGTATGCCAGACAGATGGTGATAGTCTCCTTCAGGAAAATGCCAAGAACAAAAAAAAAACAACAAAAAAAAACCCAAAACAAAACAAAACATCCTAAGTATTTTCTGCCTTTTCATTTCTTTACCCACCACATATTTTCTTTTCTTATATTTCCACTCCTTAAATACACTGTACACATGTAAAAACCCAAGCTAAAACCTCAATAAATAAAAAATACTGGCATACAGAGCAATTATTATGTGTTGGAAACAAATGCTTGGTATTTTATCAGTGCTGCTTAAAACCCCAAACAGCAACTTTGAAGACATAAACATAGCTGCTGCACAACCTCCTCAGCTGGTGTGATGGCAATATTTGTACAGATGACCAGATATTTCAGACTTACAATGGACTGCATCTTGTGTTGCAGCTTTGGAAAAATTATTTCCAGCAGAGGGGTGCTTGATGGGTAAATCACGGCAGTAATAAAACTGTTTTCAGCCTGTCTTCTCCTACTTCTCTTGGAGGCATCTGAGAGAGAATTAAATTTGGGTCCCTGTGGCAGAAAACCTCACTCCAGACATGAGCCCTGCAGCCTTTGTGTCCTGCCAGCAGCAAAGGCTTCGCCTTTCAATGGGCACAAGTCTGTGGTAATATCCACTGAAAAATGGCTTTGGAGGATGGACACTGAGAACCAAGCAGTCGACAAACTGGGTGGAGGATGTCTGGGTATTCCATCTGGGAAGCAGAAGCACTGCCCCAGGCATCTCTGAGGACTTGGTTGCACAAAAGCTGGGAGGGAATGAAAATAAAAAGCCCCTAATTTCTGGTAAGGCTTTGTCCTCTGGCTGAAATACTCCAAAAAAGGTTTCTTTGGTGCTTTCTGTAGGCAGCTGGAGAGAAGTGCAAGGTCATGGGGAATTAGAACCGTGTGTGATGGGAGGCATGTTTGAAGCAAGCAAAAGCTTTGCTGTGGCAATCGGGTGCCTGCTCTGGCTAGCCCCTGGTTTCCTCACCTAAAAAATAAAAAAGATAACTTTTAGTGGTTTTCCACAAAGCAGCCTTTTGGTTTGGGTTTTCTTTGAGAGGGTCCCTTCCTAATAAATAGAAGAGGGTTTCTTGTTCAGTGCAAGCACCTCAGCTCTGCCCTTTGGTCACCTTGCCCTCACTTCCTTGTTTGCTTATTCAGACTTAGAGCTAAAAGGCCCCATTGCTTAAGCTGCTGTTGATATCAGCCAGGAAGAGTGCTACCTATTAAATAGGTGGGATTTTTTATTTTCTTTATTATTTACACACTGTGCACCCAGGCATTTTGCACTGCTGGCAGTTTGTACTGTAATGCAAAGCAGCCCACTGAGGTAACAGCAGTGGAAATGAAAGGAGAAAATGCATCCCACTGCTTAGGAAAAAAAGAAAAAGAAAAAAAAAAAGAGATGAGCAATAAGGAAATGCTGAAAGTCCCTCCTCCTCAGAAAAACCCCAAAAGTTCAGCCAAAATGTCTAAACTGGAAGATACCTGGAAAGTTGCCAATTCTGCCCCCACCACTTTCCCTTTTTCACCGTAGAGAGCAACACATATTTGGGAGGGTGAGAAACAGAGTGAAACAATTTATGCTTAGAAAGTGGCTCCAGAATGACTCTTGATTCTTCTTAACCTATCTTAAGATTTTCCTGAGATATAAAAAAGCCTGCATGTGGTCACCCCAGAGTGCGTGTGGCTGTGTCCTCCCAACGCGAGCTTGTGAAAGGAGGCGCTTTCCTCCCTGGGGCTGCAGTGATTATAAAGGCAGCTGTAAAGCAGAGCACTCAGGATGTAAAGTGCCCTTCAGATAATGTCTGATATCAAAACAAATCTGTTTACTCTGCAGTGATTTATACTGAATATTTGTTACTAAGGGGCGGGGGGGGGACACAACAGAAAATGCAGTTTGCTCAAACAAGCCCTGTTGTGCTGATACAAACTGGTGGCTGCAGCTCAGTGATGTGCTAAACACAGAGGAGCAGAGGCACCTCAGTGTCACTCTTGTGCAGAGAAGTGGGCAGCAGTGGCCAGTTGCAAACTACTGGCTCATGTGGGACCAAAGCCAGGCAAAACTGTAGCACCAAATTCAGCAAAAAAGGGTGGGAGGAGACTCCCAATGGGATGCTCACCCATAAATACATTCACCTTCCCTGAGCAAGCCTTCCTTTTGTTTGGGGATGGAAATGGTCTTGAAAATAGCCGGTGCAGGGTCCTGCTCCGGGGATTTACCTGCTCTCCCCTTGTTTTTCACAGAGGGCGGAAGGACACCCAAGCAGGAGCCGGTCTTCAGGCGAGTCACCATGGAGGACAGTGTCATCTAGCGCCGGCCAGCCCGTGCCAGTGCACCACCTCAGCTCCTCTGTGCCTCAGCTCACCCGTCCCTCTCTTGGGATCGCACAACAGGAGAGGCTGGAGGAACTGGCCTCGCCCAAACCCTCAGCAAACCCTTGCATCCCCAAGGAGAGAACGGCCCGGCAGAGATCCCCTCTGCCCTGTGCATGGCAGCCCCCTGGGAAGCGCCCTTGCCGTGTGCTCGCTCGTCTCTTTTTTGAAGATGAGCAGAACAGGTGAAAATTGTCTTCTGTAATAAGAAATTAGTTTCACCTGCTCCAAACATTGACTTTGCAACTCAGTAACACTTAAAAGATGGCTGAGTGTGTCTAATCCACCATCCCGAGCCTCTCTCCATGCTCTCAAGCTGGGCTGTATAAAGGGGAACCTGCCAGATCCAGGTTGCTGCTGTAAATACAGACCTGTCAGTGCGAAGAGCCAACATGGGAAGGACCAGAGGGACAGAGAAGTAGTCCTTACACCAGAAGAAGCTGAACATGCCAGCAGAGTACGGTCAAGCGAAGCTGTTGCTTGTAAACAGGGACCAGCGCATGTGTCCAGCAGCAGCTCCACTTGGCCAAAGCTTCTTGGGTGAAAGCTGCTCTGATTTTATTGTCTTGTGTAAATAGAAATATTTTTTTGAGAAAAAAAATGAGCCTTAGTATCTTGAAGATAGCGTTTCTCAATCAGCCCAGCTGGGGATGGATACATGGGAGCCCACGGGGTCTGCCTGCTGGAGGCCAAGCTGTGCCGTCGCCGCAGGTGCAGCAGGCACCTGAAGGAGGATGGAACTGTCCAGCAGAGGACTCGGCAGACATTTCTCCCTAGACCCTGGAAACAGGGTGAACTCACTGGTCCCATGGTCTCCGCTGGTGTAAATACTCAGCTACAGCCCACAGAGGACTTGGACTGCTCAGTGCAGTTGTGGGACAGGGGAGGGTGGAATGGGCAGAAATCATCAGAGGGATGCAAACCCCATCAGCGTGGTGATCCCCAGGCTTTTAGCATTAGTGAAAAAAAAAAGAAAAGGAAAAAAACAAACCCTGAAGGCTTATTAATGGTGTTGGGCCAACTGTTTGGCTGGGTAAATGGAGGCATGCCTAGGCATGTTCTGTGTTCATGTCAGCCAGTGCCTGTCTGTGCAGTTCTCTGTCTGTGCAAACGCGTGTGTGGTTCGGGGGCTGCTGCAGGTCCTGTGTCCGTGTAGCTGTGTCCGTGAGAGAGGAGAGAAAATGGATGTGTGTGTTGTACTGCCCTTTATGTGCCCAAACACATCCAAGGAGTCATCAGTGACGCTGCTAGGTCCAGCTTTAGTAGCACGAGTGCGGAGTAGTGTCCACACCTCTGCAGGGAATGAGGCTGGGCAGGCAGGGGGATGGTGTTAGCTGAGTGAGAGCTGATAAATCTGTGCTCTGCATTGAGTTGTCATCCTCTCTGCCACCCTGCCGTGGCACAGCAGTGCTCATCTGCAAACACCACCAGCACAACAGGGCTGCACTCCAGCACGGGCACTGGCAGGATAGCACCTCCTGGAATTTGGACGGGAGCTTTGGGGTTTCCCTTTCATCCTTCATCACCCAAAGCTTACTTATGCCTTATTTACTCTGAGTCCAACTGTTCGGATTCACGCAGTGCAGGGAAATTAGGAAAAGAGAATGAAATTAGAAATTGAAAGTAGAAAAAAAAAGCCCATACATGAGTAGAAAACAAGTATTTTTGAAATTTATCCCCAATAACTTTCTCTGGACACGGAAGTCTCTTTTCAGCTTGGCATTTTGCAGGAATGCAGTGCCAAGGTCAAGTGTCTTCCCCATGAAGAAGCCAGATAGCAGAAACAACTTGCACTATTTAGCACAGCATCGGGGCCAAAGCCCCTTTACCCTTGCAAGGAATGGGCAGTGGGCAGGCAATCAACAGAAATTGGAAGCTGCCTCAGATTCCTGAGGGGTGTGGGCATCTAGGGTGGTAATTTGTTTGCAGTGGTCCAAGGTGAGCTGCAGGGATAATCTTTTCCACTTGAATACTTGAATACCTCCTGTCATCCAGCTGTGTGTGTTCCCATTAACACCTAACAACTGCCAGTGCCAAGTGATTTATATATTTATCAGGCCATTTATTTATGTATTAAACCAGTGCATGGGAGGCACTGTGCTTTCATCTGCCACATGTGGACACCTCTTCCTTTGCCCACTTCTCCAGCCTTGTGTAATGCCCCCAGGCAAGGTGAGTGTCATCTTGGAGAGGCTGTGGTTTCCTCCCCAGTGATGGCTGGTAGCCTTTTTTCCAGGGAGAAAAACAGTGAAAGACGAGCAACACACCCTGACTTTGTCCTGGAAATGTGCTGAAAGTCAGCCAGTGTATTAAGCAAAATAAATAACTCCAAAATGTTTGAAAGTTCATGATCTTTCACAGACATGAGGAGACCATTCTTGTGGTTTCTAGGGCCCCAATGGGCAATGCTAAATCCTGAACCCAAGGCTTCTTAACTCTGGGGAGATTCGAGGTACAGCATGGGGAAAATATAGGGGCAGTAATTACAGGAAGGAAGATACTCCCTGGTTTTACTAGATTGCAGAAAAGCAGAACTCCCCTGGGTTAGGTTGAGTCGTGGGGGTTTTTTTTTCATTGCAGCACTCACTGTTAGTTCCTCTCCCCAGACAATCCCATCATCCCATACCTTAAGCCCTTGCCTTTATGTCCAGAAGAGTTATTCTTGGAGGCGTTTACAACAACCTTCAATGTTTCTCTCTCTCTCCAGCCCTAAAGAGGCTGACACCCCACAACTGACAGTTGTAAAGATGAGCCAGACCAACCCCAAGTCCTAATAAAAATGATGAATCCCATCCACTGCATCCATATCGATGGCACACAGGTCACACGTGGAGATGAGCAGTGAGGAGGGGGAGGCAGATAATCACTGAAAATTGTGTGTGGGAGGTGCTGTTACCAAACCCACCCGTCAGAGTTTTGATTTAATCCAGCCCTGAGTCAATACCGATTGACATTTCACTTGCTTTCCATATCATAACTGGACTTCCTTACTCCTCAGGCATGGAATGAATCTTAATACATTGTAATTACTGTACTCCTGGTGGTGAACCGGTATGAAAAGCTATCACAAAAAGCATTAATAAAATGTACATTATGAAAAAGAACTCGGCATTGTCTGAAATTAATAATGCACCAGATTTTTTCTCATCCACGCCTGCTCATTACAGGCCTGCCCTTCAGTTTTCTATTAAAATGACTTATTCAAACTACTTGTATAGCTGTGTTCAGCGTGAAGTTATCTGCTGTAGGTTTGCATCCCAGTTAGATGTACCGCATGAGGACTTATTAATCTGTTATATCTTAGAGGCATTGATTTTGGTGACATTTATATAACGCTGGTATGACTAAAATGAACTGATTGATTCATGCGTATGGATTAGTTTGCCTAAGACTTTGAGGCCAGGTAGCTTTATCATGCACTGTAACGCCAGAATTCATCACTGTATTATTTACGAGAGACTGAACTGGCTGCATCTCAACAACTGAAGAGATCTTCACTGTTTTATTTATGTATAAATGTTTACTTAATCAGCCGCCAATTTTGTTTAGCAGAATTTGTTCGCAAATGGAAATTGTAAACGATAACGTGGTTTATATTTTAAAATTTATAGGCTTTCATCTATAGCAAAATCCAAGATTTCCAAATCTTGTCTTTGTCTACTGGCAATCAACAAGCTGTCTTGTATATGCTTTCTGGTAATTGCAATTAGCTGCTGCAACATTTCACATAAAAACAATGCAACCCTAACATGGGAGATCTGAGTGGTAGTGTGTCCACGTCAACATAAATATCCCAACCTTTACAAACGCTGCTGGAGGTTTAACAAAGCAACAAGGAGCCACCAGCCAGTGCAGAGGCAGGAGCTCATGGACATGAGTGGTAATTTCTGCTGCCTTGTTTTACAAGAAAATCCCAGTTAAATTGTGTCTCAGTCACAGGGACCATATCCCCTTGCGGAAAGCCTGGTCAAAGGGGGCAAGGAAAACATCTGTGCATTGCAGCTGGGAAAGTGGCTGGGCTACAATGCGTGTTTAAGGGTATAACATTCCAAGGAGGCTTAATCCCAGGTTCCCAATCGATGGCATGTGTTTTCTTTGGACCACGCTGCTTCTCCCAGGGACCAAGGAATAAGGAGACATAAAGGATTTATTAAATGAAAGCAGAGACTTTCCTGTTAGGAGCCATTTAGAAATATTTTTAGTGCAAAGGCACAGAAGAAGTGACATGCTAGAGACCTATAAAATAATAAGTAGTGTCCAGAGAAGGTGAATTGAGTGCTGCAGTTCACCATAGGTAATACAGCAAGTGGCACTATGTAGGGCAATGAAGAGGTGAAGTCTTAAATGTAGTTATAAGTAATGTTTCATTACCCATCACAGGATTAACCCACGGACTCCCTGACCCAATACACCAGAGAGGTGATGTACAATGAGCTTTAGTAAGATATTATGCTGTTTCACAGCTCAAAGAAAGAAAGAAAGAAAAAAAAAAAAAAGAAAAAACAAGAAAAGCCTGTCACCTACAGTCTCTTGTTTCAGGGTCAGGAGGAATTTCTGGCTCCCTGAGGAACTGCAGAAACACCCCTGCTGAGTCTTCAGCCATACTTCACACTTGTGATTTTTTTTTTTCCCAACCATATTTTATTAACATAAAAAATTACAATAGTATTAGGTAGGCCTGGAAAATTACTTGCCAGCTGTCAGTTTGAAAAGGGGAGTAAGCTTTGCATGACAGCACGCTGGGCTGTATCTTCAAGATCATGGGATCACAAGATAGTGATGCTGAGGGGTAGCTGTGCCTCACAACCATTGAACCCATCGCTGCAGAACTGGTGTCAGCAAAAAGTCCCTCTCCATGTTTCTTTTTGGCTGCCTCAGGTACTAGAAGGCTCCAATTACATCACTCCTAAGCTTTCCCTTTTACAGCCCAAACCGACTCAATCTACAGGTCTGGTCACTATTCTTTTAGGGCAACCAGGAGAAGCACCTGGCAAAGGCTAGGGACAAAAAAAAAAAGTAAACACAACATAAGTTGGGCTAGGAGCTGCTTTAATAATCTCTGTGCCCACCTGGATGTAATGTGGGTCCCCAACTGGAGAAGTAACAGCAACACCTGTGGAAGTTGCTCAGAGGCCCCTTAACAAGCTCAAGGGGATGTGCTGAGGAGGATTTCCTTCCTGCAGGCCAAAGTGATAAAGCTGATATTGTTTGCAGTGATTTTATAACTCCTGGCTGAACTAGAGATTAAACTTTAGGAAGATGTTTCAAGAGTGACTGGAGTTCTGAAGAATGATGGCTCTGTTGGACCCCTTGGTAAGACACCCCACATGCTAAGTGTTTCTGTTGATGTGCAAGTACGGCGGTTTGACTCGTGTCTCAGCAATTAAGTTTTATTTCCTGTCTTACACCCTGTTTATCCATGCTAATAGCTCTCCCAGATCTTCTTGGATAACACCTGCTGTGTAGGAAGGTATAAAATTGTAGGAAGGGCTGAATATTTGTCACCGTAATGTCATCAAAATGGTCTTGACTAAAAGGTGTTGCTGCAGGAGTCTGATTTTTTTCTCAAGCTTCCCTCCATGCAGACGAGCTTTTAGTCATGTTTCAAAATAAAATGAAGACGTGCCGGTTTTTTTATTATTTTTTAATTTTTTTTTTTCATCTGTAAAGCTAAAAATGAAGCTGTTATGTGCATGCTTCCTTCTGCTTGGATGCACTTGCCAGCATCTGCTGCTGTGGGAAGCTAAAGTCACTGATGGCGAAGCTAAATTAAACCTCTCCAGTGTGTGTTTTGAGGGGGCATAAACCAACATCTGCAAGGTGGCCTTGGGGTAAGGGTAGCTGACCCTCAAGCTGATGTGCCCTGCTTAGAGCTTTGCTGTCCTGGGGATGCAGCAGCTGCACAAAAATGAGACTTGGAGACCCCTGTTTTCTTTGCAATATCCTTTATTTACCATAGCATATGTATTATTGTGTGGTGTGCTCTCCCTAAGCCCCACCCGTGAGGGCCAGTGGCTGCCTGCTGCTCTGCACCTCTGCTGAATATTAAGCAGCTTCCTAAAAGCAATGAAGCTGTTATGGCTGAACAGCTTCGCCATGTGCAGGCTGCACAGATATCCAGCAAAGAAATCAAAGGCATGATGTCACCAGTATTTCTTATCTAAAATTAAATATCTGTCTTAAGTCCCCAGACGCACGGAGACTTTGTATTAGAAACATATACTGAGAGTTCAAACTCTGAGTCATCTCATATATATTTCACTCAAGCCAGGGGAATAGCAGTGAGAATAGACCTGCAAAAGAGCAATTCTCTATTCTAGCAAGATGAGGGAGAAAAAAAATGTTCAGGGAAAATAGTAATGGGTTCACAAGTGAAAAAATCTTGCCAATGAAATTGTGTCTCTAATATTCTGTACCTTTGCAATAAAGTCACGATTTGCTGTGGAAAATGCAGCAGAGAATAAGTGGGTCAACTTGTGCTCATTAATGGCAGAGACAGAGTAAGTGGCATTTAAAACAAATCCACTCAGAGGGAAAGTGAAAATTATTTATTCTGAAGGCATCCAATGTTTGTTGTCACAATTGGATTTCAAGAGCAAGTCACAATGCTTTGGGGTGCCTTTGTCCAGGCAGGGTTAAGCCAAGCTCAGGATGTGCTGGAGCCGAGGGCTGTGTTTCTGCTGTTGCTCTCCACTGCATTGCAGGACATGCTGGGTGGCCACTGCTGTGCCCTTTCTAGCACATGCCACAAGTGTTCCAGCCCAGTCACCAGGGGCTGAAGTGGGAGACGTGATGCTGGAAATTACTTGGCCCCATCTGTGCTAAGGGATAAATTGTGCCAAGCTCATTGTCAGTCCACTCACATGTCAGCAGCTGCACTTGGGTGCAGTGAATATATGTGGATCAGGAGCACTTTTAATATCCCTCTACCTTTTGTGTCCTTATTATCCCTGTAATGGGCCCTATGTAGTCCCCAGGCCAGTGGTTGTTCATCTTCCCTCATTCCTCTCAGGCTGTGCTGCTGATTTTCTTCTCACCTGGGTAGGCTCCTGTGTTGTGGGTGCACCTCAGCTCCTAAATAGTTTTCTCCAAAGTAGAGAAAGATACTCCAGGTCTCTAAAACCTCTACTCTGCTAAAAGGGGTTGTCTTCTCCTGTGAGCATTCCAGTCGTGAAGGAGCTGTGCAGTGGGTTTTCTTGGATTCTGGCGATGCTGCCCATACAGGAAGGCATGGGGCAAGAGGAAGCACAGAGGCATTTCTGGAGTCACTGTGGAAAAAACCCTGCACTAGGCTGTCCTCCAGCTTTTACTGGATTATAGCCCAGACCTGAGACCCAACAGATGCACTGTCAGGTATGAAGTATTGGCCCAAGATTCGTGCTGGCTCTGTAATGGGAACCAATTCCCCTCTCTAATGCTCAGTTGTTGCATTGCATAAAAATCATTATTACACATTGTGAAATCTAATTACATTATTGCACACTGTGTATACACTCTAATAAAGGCAGTGGAAGCAATAACACTGCTAGTAATACACCATTCCTCTGAAATTGCTATTGGTGTCAATTCTACATTCATTTTTTCTTGATTTACTCTGAAGAGCAAGGCTTTCAGCCGGCTTGCTTTGGCAGGTGGATGAAGTGTCAAGACCTTACAAGGGCTGCAGAGCTCCTACTGCATTAGGGAGCATGTGAGGGGACCCAGCCAGTGGTGAGACCAGTCCCTCCTGAGGGTTACAACGCTGTCCTGAGATGGGTCCAAAGCCAGCTGGGCTCAGTTTCCACTGAGAGTACCCGTTCTCTCCACTGACTGTAGATCCTTGGGCACTTCTGCTCTTAGATGTCTGAAACCAGATCGGCTCAAATGCCTCCAGCCCTCTGTTGTGCTGGCGTGGAAGAGGAAGAGGAGGATAGATGGCCCTTTGTCACAATTCAGAGATATATGTATTTGCCAGCATTGAGCTGAGAGGGATTTAGTTCTCAAAGAGTATTTTCAGTTCTCTGCTTCCCCACCGTTAACTTCGCATTGTAAAGCTTGTGTGATGGATATGAGCTGCTAGTGCCAACCTGCTGGTTCCTTGCACTCTGCTCTCCTTGCAAGCTGT